GACGACACAGGGGTCTAATTCTGTGTATGAAACCTTAAAAATTACTTTCGATATATCATGATTTTTGTATGTTCTGCTGTAACTTTTAATAAAACTTTTTAATGCGTGAACTTCATCATCATTGAGGAGCTCGATGGCGCAGCTCGGTTAGCGCGTTCGGCTGCGATCGGTGAAGTTAAGCAACATTCGCAGTGGTCGGTCATTGGACGGGTGACCAAAAATCGTCTTTTCCGAGTTTCTCCGTGCTTCGGAAGGCATGTTAAGTCGTTGGTCCCGGCTGCATCTGCAGTCGTTAGCACTCGCCAATTCGCACTGCGCCCGCGTTGTGGGTCATGGCCAATTTCCCTATTCCATCCATAGTGCAGGCCTGTGCTCCAGCAGTGGGGACATTAATAGGCTGATGATGATGATATGTTAGGCACTTACCCCACCGCACGAGAAGCGAGTAGAAACTAGAAACGAGTTTGCGAGCAGCGGGAAGCAAGTGTGTGAGTACGACGGGCGATTACTTGCGCCACTCGCTCGTCGTGACAGTCTTGACAAAAATGTACGCGGACTCGTTTAGACGGCCAAGCGAGTATCGATGAGCGAGCATTGCTTAGCGAGTACCGCTGATCAAGTACGATCTTTAATAGCTCTTGTCGCTCAGCGACAACAGTCAGCGGTCAAATTTAAAAAAAAGCATCTCTTTTGTTTACAAGGAATCTATATGTACTGTACGTTTCTTGAGCGAATAAAAATGTTGATGGTTTATTCGCTTACTTATTACTATATCCATACCATCCGTCCATACTTAGACCATAGAGGTATAAGAATAGAGTGGAAAAGGCGGCTCTAAAAGTGTCCGTCTAGTAGAAAGAGAAAGAAGATGAGAGACGGCTAGCCTTTCTTTCTCTAATCGCGAATGCGCAATGGATGAAAAACCTACGGATAAATACTGACCAATCACACGACTGCGCAGCAATACCGACCAATCACACGACTGCGTAGCGTCACAAGAGAGAGAGATAGCTGGCCTTTTCAGAGACACGCTGCAAATTATTTTTTAAATGAAATATTTTTCTATATCATGTTTTAAAAAAATTTGTTGCCATTGCCGTCTAAAATATAGTTAGCGAAAAAGTTTCTGTAACTGGCTGAAATATTAGCATGTTGTTGTTGTTTAGTTTTAAATGCAAAAAAGCTGTATAGACTTTGTTGAAGAAACAAAATACAAAATCTTAATGTTCACAATGTGTATGGGAACAAAGCAAAGTTTTTACGAGCAGAATAGTATTATGTTGAACGTGACTCAAGTGCAGAGGCAAATCACAGAGCCAATAACTTATGTTACTACGTCCAGATATGAATAAGTTATGAAGCGTATTGAATACGAAATAATGGTGTATTCTATTTTATGAAGCAGCAAGAATAAGGGAAATTTATGTACATTGCAGACGTAGATTTTGTATTAACTACTTAAAGGGTTTTATTGGGCTAGTGTATGTTTGCAATTTCTTCTACGTAGAAAAATTGTTTTTTTATGGTTGATTTCTGGGATGAAAACTGTCCTATATCCTTAGATTAAAACAAAAAGGGTAGGTACGGTACGCTCATACTTGCATCAAACAAAAACTGATCCCACGGCAGCGCGAACGGGACGGCGAGATCCGCGTCACTGCATTACCGACCCGAACGAAACAGCACGTGAAGTTTCAACGGTAGCGCGAACAAGACGGCGAGATCCTCGTCACTGCACTACCGACCAATCACGCGACCAGTACTTGACGTCACTACCGAATAAGATTCAAAACAAACAGCAATTTTTATGAAAAATATATTTTATAGTACTTACGAATGAAAAGTAATGATGTGGGTTATTTTTAGTTCTTGAGCAATTTGAGCACTTTTTAAAAACACACTTAGGCATTGTTTTATCATATAAACACAAAATATTAGCAGTATTTCTTTTTGGCGTTCACATGTACGTCGTTTGCATGTCAAGTTGTGACTAAAGCGATTATGGTCGTGGACCACAATTCATGCGGATCACTTGTGAGGCTAGTGCCGTATCTACCCTTTTTGTTTTAATCTAAGCCTATATCCTTTTTCGGGACACAAATTATCACTATTCCAAATTTCATGTAAATCGTTTCAGCGGTTTAAGCGTGAGAGGTAACAGATAGAAAGACAGACACACTTTCGCATAATTAGCATGCATGGAGGAGCTGATGGCGCAGTGGCAATCGAAGAAGCTAAGCTACATTCGCAATGATCGGTCAATAGATGGTTGATTAAAATTTTATAACTCGAGTTCCTCCGTGCTTTTGAAGGCTCGTCAAGCCGATTGAATCTGTACTCGTGAGCACCCATCAATAATAATAAATAAATAAATATTTCCAACACTCACACCAATTAGCCTAGCCCCAAAGTAAGCACTATAAGGCTTATGTTATGGGATGCTAGGGTAACGAATAGAATACATATACCTACCATACCAAGAGTACATATATAAGTATATTTATATAGAAATACATATTAAACATCCATGACTGGAGTACAAATGCTCGTATTCATCACACAAACATCTGCCCCCACCGGGATTCGAACCCGGGACGTCTCGAGTCGGCGACACCATGAAACCTGGCGTACAAACCACTCGGCCACGGAGGTCGTCGATCAATGTGCACTGACCCGTCTCTATTCCGTAAATACTAAAAGCTTATGCTTTTCGGCTCATCTTCCAGTGTCCTTTTATTTCTCTTCGCTATTATTATGGATATTGGTAGGTATTAGGTAAAAAAGGTGTACAAGTGCAAGTCAGACACGTCCATCGAGGATTTCCTTACAAATGTGTGGGTATCTACGCAACATGAACCACCGTATCTCTTTTTAACGTGAGCTTAGAAAATTTATTATTTATACCTGAGTATATAGTTCTACACGAGATAAAGGGTCTTTACAGATAGATAGATTAACGACCGTATCTGTTGTTTACGTTAACTTAGAAGTTTGATTTTTTTACACATTTAAGGGATTGTAGCCCTGAGTATATTGTTCAACTCTATACCTCTACGTATTCACGAGATAAAGGGTTTTGATAGATAGGAATATTAAGGACCGTATCTTTTTTACGTTAACTTTGAAGTTTGATTTTTTGCAGCTTCAAGAGAGCGTAGACCTGATTATAATGTTTAAATTTCAACCGCCAGAATCATCAGCGCTGCAGCAGCCCTGGTGTTGCTGTAGTATTAAGCTGAGGCAGGGACCTAGTTGGTCTATTTTGGCTTGTTTTATTTATGTTAATATGACTATGTTCAAGGCTAATAGAATTTATTTCTTCTTCTTCTTCAACTAGATAGCTTTACGCGTTCCTGAGATAAAGGGTCTTGACACAAAGACGGAGAGACGGACAATAAAGTGGGGACAAAAAATAAGGATTCCGTTTTGAGGTAATATATGTAATACCAATTTACTTAAAACGATAATGAATCTCCATACAATTAAATGTTTATACCATAAACACACAAGGTTACACTGTTAATTTTAATGATGGTCCTATTACAACTATTAAGGGGTAAACCAAGAGGTCCCGGCCGGCCAGGGTTTACCGAGGCACCCGACCCATGTCAATATGTCTGCAAATGGAATTAATTTGACAATATTTCCGTGTGTACAAGCTTGGTAAACCCCGCGTTTAGTTCGGAAAACTCGTTTGTGGATTAACATCTAACGAGGATATGATAGATATAATTTGTTCCGTAGCTCGGGGGTTGGGTCTAATCTTGACACTTATTCTGTTAGTCTGTTGTTACCAATGATGAATTTGTTAGGTTGCATCAACCGTTGCCACTGCCGGATTTCGGGGAGGGCAACCGGGGCGAAAGCCCCGGGGCCTCCACAAACGGGGGGCCCCCACAATAGAGACTTCGGAAAAAAAAAACTTTCAAATTCCAACTAGTAAACACTAGTAAACATCTTTTCTTTTGATATCTTTTTTTTTGCTCTTTTACCTTTACCCAGGGCCGAATTTAAGGCAGGGCAGGTGTGGCTGTGGCCCAGGGGCCTCCGCAGCTTAAGAAATAACAACATTTCGATGGGTCAATAAGCATACAAATCCTAAGTGGCTCGGGGCCTCCACAATCCTAAATCCGGCCCTGACCGTTGTTTGAAAAAAGAAATATATATGTTATCTGTTTGATAATTTGTGCTGCCGCGGTAACAGAAAGAGATTTGAGTGTCTGTGAGTGAGAGTGTACTTTCAGACACATCTATCGGCCCACCTAGATTTGACGGTCCTTAGCTAAAAATAAATGTTACACAGATCAATTATTTTTACACAGTTTTAAAGTTGATTTACTGGTTACCATCTTTTTCGTGTGTTTATAAAAATATATTCTTACTAGCGGCCCGCCCTCGCTTAGCTTCGGTGTAGAGCTGAAGTGTAGACTACAGTTTTTGTTCTCAGGCTTGTATTATACACAATGACATTCATCTATGATTCTTCTTATACCTGCATGCAAAGTCTCAGCCCGATCGGTTTAAAATTGACAAAGTTTCATACAAACTTTCATTCTCTATTTTATCCCCTTGGGGGTAGAATTGATCAAAATCCTTTCTTAGCGGATGCCTACGTCGTAACATCTACCTGCATGCCAAATTTCAGCCCGATCCGTCCAGTGGTTTGGGCTGTGCGTTGATAGATCACTATGTCAGTCAGTCACCTTTGAGTTTTATCTTTATATATATAATTCTTCTGTGAGTGTGTATGTCACTGAACTTCTCTTAAACGACTGGACCGATTTTGATGAAATTTTTTGTGTGTGTTCAAGGGGATCTGAGAATGATTCACAATTTTGTCCGCTGGACAACCCCTATTTTTTTAGGGTGGTACGAAGTTCGCTGGGTCAGCTAGTATATATATAGATTGCTACCTTTATTTTTGCTACAGACCCTCGAAACCCTTGTAAGTATATTTTTTAGACACACAAAAAAGATTAGACTAGCTTGTGGTAGCTTACCTTCGACGCTGGGTTTTTCGCAGACGAAGTAGTTGTGTTCCCTGCAGCCCCTGTCATTCCACATGAAGGTGGGCGTGGCTGGCGGAGGTCGTGGTGGAAATTCCCTGCGCGCCTCCACGCAGTCTTGCCCTGATGTACCATCGTCATTCGGCTGGCTGCTGTGCTTCCTCCAGCCGGGGAACCAGTCTGTAAGAGGATTTTTTATGTAAAAAGGTGAGCAATAACTTAGATTAAAACAAAAAGGGTAGATACGGTACGCTCATACTAGCATCAACTCAACTCAACTACATAAGCAACTCTCGCCACGCACACGTCTGTATATAAACATCAATTGAGCGAGCGAGACGGAACTATACGCTTCAACGCAGCGTATTGTTGTCATTTTCTTGCTTACAAAATGGCGATCACGTAAATAATATCCACGGCAAACCGTGATTTTTGAAAAAAAAAAAAAAATGTTTTCACAGTTTTACGAATGAAAAATGTTGCCGGGGCATTTGATTTTGAACTATTTGTGTTGTTTATAAAAGCATCGAAGGCATTGTTATATCTTCATAACACAGAATATACGCAATATTTTTATATTGAGTGTACAAGCATCGTGTTTGAATGTCAAATTGTGACTAAAGCGAATTATGGTCGTGGACTACAATTTAAGCGGATCACTTTTGAGCCGCGAATGCCGTATCTTCCCTTTTTATTTTAATCTAAGAGCAATAAGCACATGATCTAATAATAAGGTAGGGCTTTTCTGAGAGAGGTTGAGCATAGCAGATTTTTCGTTGGAGCGTCTTTCGTCACTATCTTTTGGAGGTTTTACATTTCTGTTGGTAAGTATTAATTCAAATCTGTAAGGAATATTGAGGTAATTTGCTGTGCCTCTTATAAAAAAGGGGAAGCCTTGATTAACGCTGCAGATTTGAGCTATATAACAAAATTATGTAGTATTGCATTCATAGAGTGTGGAAGGTTGACAAAGCTCCGAAAAGTAAGAATTGGTTTCAAGTCATCAAGGTAAGGTAATGATGGTTGAAGCGGCTTTTATAAAATCAGTCTTCATGTGATAATATACTTTGGCTCGTTTGTCATCTTCATCAGTCTAAAAATGCCACCGGTTACAGATCTCCCTTAGGTCAGGCTATTCTTTCCCTTTATGGAGCTATGATCTGCCATGCGGGCCCAGTTCAGATTGGTGGTTGGTTTCGACTGCAGATGCCGCCGGGGCCGACATCTTAACGTGCTTTCGGAAGCACGGATGAGCTCAAGACAGTCACTTTTTACCACCCATCCTATGAGAGAACATCGCGAAAGTTGCTCAATTTTCAAGATCGCAATCCAAATACGTGCGCCATCGTAGATCAGTCCCCGTAGCATGAGCACGACAATTTACATTAAATCACGTTTTTTATCGCGTCTAACTGTCAAACTCCACAGTAATTTGACAGTTGAGCGTGATAAAAACGCGTTATATATCATAAAGCGGTGCTGGAGGGGAGGGCTCTATTTTATCGTAGGCAATATGTTCTGCGATATAATGTTTACGTTCTCCTATATCATATCACAGTGAGTGACCGAACAAAATAAAAAAATATGCTAAAGAATACACCTTGAGTCATGTGAGTTGAGGTATTCCTGCAAACATTTTAAATAATAGGTCTTACAGAGCGAATTAAAGGTATGAACTGTTCCAATCATTCCAACAGGTTTCCTATATTAAATAAATCATTATTGTATTGACGTTGTAACAACATAATGATTTGTAAATGTTGTTACATTATGCTTTTAATGTTGTGGAGTTTTGTTCGCTCGTTTTTCTCCGCAGCTAAAAAAATATGTCCAATAACGTGGTAGGGAAAAAAATGTTTGGACGATTCAAAAGTGTTGTACTATACATCCAATTTGAATAAAGATATATTGATTTCTAATTTCTGGTATTTCTGTGCAGATAACCAGAGCAGCGATATCGCAATTCATTCGTAGAGTTACTCCGTATTTCTGCGAAATTCATTGCTGTTTCTTAGTATTTTTATGATAGACGCACGATTAATATTTCCTGAAGAAAAACCCGTTTCCGACATATTGAATGAAACTCAATAGCATTGCAGTTTCTTTGTCGATTTGCTTATTTTGCGATAAGTATCAACAGATAATCAATTTTCGTACTATTCATAAGTGGAATTCTTTGCCAGCGCACCTGTTCCCTCCTTCCTACAATCTGGGGTCCTTTAAGAGAGGCGTGAAGAAGCATTTTTGCAGGCCGGCAAGGTGAGGATGGTTGGTGTGGCAGTTTATAACTCTTGTACCAGCTATCTTCGCGTTTGGGTTTATCACCACTTAACATCAGGTGGGGTAGAGTCATTTGCCAACTTGGCATAAAATATATATATATTTAATTGTGTTCATCACGCAGTTACATGCTATCCGGGTTTGGGTCCGAGGGCATTAATTATAGCATAGGTATTCTGTAAATTGCAATCTCACTTACGATCTCGGATTTCTGGCAAATGTCAAATATCTAATACTGGTGGCTTTTACAGACATAGCGACAGTTTAACAAGTAATGGCATAATGCATATTAAACTTATGTCTAAAATGGCAGCTGTCGAAATGGGAAGTGAGTTTTTATTTTGGGGGAACTTAGTTGACTAAAAATATGCATTTTTAGCTTAAAAAAAATAATAAGTGTCGGCACGAGAAGCTAGAAGCGGCTGCTAAAGTGGTTGAAGCGCGCGGCAGCGGTCGACTAAGGTAAGGGAGAGAGGTGTGGGAAATCGCGCGAGTGACGTGTGGCGGCGTTTTGTATCGGCGCATTAAGTGGCCGGTGCGAGTCACAAGAAGCGAGCAACGACGATTTGCAGCGTGTGGCGGCCACCGGCGTACCGTGTGTGGCGAGTCCATATAAAATGTTTGAAAACTACAAGAAATATGCCGGTGGCGGCGTTTTGTGGTTGTGGTCGGTGGCCTGTGTGCGGCGACACTAAGGGCTATTTGTAAAATTAAGCAAACTGACAGTTGTAAACTGAATTTTATATCATTAACACTTTTGACATTGTCGTGTATTTACATATATATGAAGTTGATGTTTTTATTAGAGCTACATTTATTTATATGCTACTTTTAATTGTAGGAGATTCTAAAACAGACTTTGTTAACCATCTTAAGAAAACATGGCTTATGAATGATAGTGTACTTTGTATGGCACCTCAATTATATAATAAAATACCACTTGAAATAAGAAGAGCTGAAATCCCTAATAAATTTCGTTCAAAATTAAAGAATAATATATTTCTTGACAAGGCGTATAGTTTAAAGAATTTTTCGAGGTCAAATCTTTGTAAATGGATGTACCTATTTGTTTATTTTAATTTGCATGCCTTGAGGTGATATATGGAATAACTTTTTCATGTATTATAATTTAACACCTTTGTATCACCTGTATTTCCAAATAAATTATTGATTGATTGATTTTATCTTACAGAATCGCCCTACAGAAGGTTGAAGAAGCGTTGAATGTCAAATTGAAGAATGCATAGATAAAGGTAACATATTTTTGGGGTTTTACTCTAAGTGTCGCCGCACACGGGCCACACGCCATAGCCGCAAACGCCGCCATGAGAAGCTAGAAGCGGCTACTAACATGGCTGAAGCGCGCGACAGCAGCCGTCTAAGGCAAGGGAGGGGTGGGGAATCGCGCGAGTGTCGTGTGGCGGCGTTTTGTATCGGCGCATTAAGTGGCCGGTGCGGGCCACAAGAAGCGAGCAACGACGATTTGTAGCGTGTGGCGGCCACCGGCGTACCGTGTGTGGCGAGTCCATATAAAATGTATGAAAACTACAATAAATATGCCGGTGGCGGCGTTTTGTGGTTGTGGTCGGTGGCCCGTGTGCGGCGACACTAATGTCGCTATTTTACTCTCCGATGTGCCCATACGTGCCCACTTCACGAACCAAGAGGGGCGAGCAAATAATCTTAATTGACAGCTTTATTTTAGCCGAATACGTATAGACATATTCACAGGAAACAGGTCTTTTGGAATCTCAAAAGTCTTCGTGGGCCTAAACTTCGGGGTATCACGGGCGAGTCGCACATTCAGCGAACATGGGGGCCTACTGGAGCGAACGTAAAAATATTTTCAATGTTAAAACCGGTCAAATGTGAGATTAACTCGCGTGGAAAAGGTTTCGTACGCAGAAATTAAGCATTCAGCTAAAGATCGCGCGCGTATTTCTGTCGATGAGTAAGGTTGCAGACAACGGCGCAAGTGATAATGCTTTTTTTTTGTTTCCTCCCAGGCGGCGGAGCGGGTGTGAAATCCTCATGGATACCCTATAGCCGGCTGTAGGGTTATGTCAGACTCTTACTGACTAAAACACTCCTGTGGGAGGATGCCTATGGCCTTAGGGGCCTTACAGGTTTCATCTGATGCGATCAACCCCTGAGAAGGGGATGATGCTGCGCTGCCTTAGTAAATACTACTGCATAGTGCGCTTAGAGGACGGATGCACTCTGATGTGCAATCGTATCGGTTTGGGACTGAGCGACTGAAGGTCACTCAAGATCGGGGGTGCGGGGGCTCTCAGGCGCGTTGCAATGCCCATTTGGCTCCTCGGAGGCCAGAAGGGCCTCGAGGTCGCGCGTGAGTTTGTTAGGGGGGTCCGTAAGGACGTTTCTTGGCCTGCGGGGCCTGTACGGGTGGGGAAGTCATACTGCATCGCAAGCATCTTTATATAGCTTATACACGTTAGCCAAGTGGAAGCCAATAGACAGCATATTTGTCTTGCCTTGTCATCAGACGGTGTCGCTCGTCTGATTTTTCAAGTAAGTTTTCAGTAATTAGACCTTATTGTCCCGGATTCCGATAATGTGCTAGTTTCGTAACAAAATAAACTAATAACGAATGACACCTGCTTGATGTTTTAATTCTGGGGGGTGAAGGGGAGTTTGATTTGATGCTTTATTTTTTTTTGGGGGGAGGGGCTCGGCACTGATAAGCCAGCATATGGCAATCCTATTCCTAAAGCTCGTCTATATTGGCCACATGCATTGGTATTCTACAAACTTGCC